CACCATCTATCTACCCATCCATCCATCCCCAACCCATCCCTCCATCCCCCTCTACCTACCTACCCATCTGTCCATCCCCCAACCCATCCCTCCCCATCTACCTACCTATCCATCTGTCCATCCCCAACCCATCCCTCCCTCCCCATCTATCTACCTACCCATCCATCCACCCCATCTATCTAACCATCTATCTCTCCATCCTCAACCCATCCCTCCATCCCCATCTATCTACCTACCCACCCATCCATCTGTCCATCCCCCAATCCATCCCTTCATCCGCATTTACCCATCCGCGTGTCCATCCCCCTAATCCATCCCTCCCTCCCCATCTATCTACCTACTCATATGTCCATCCCCCAAACCCATCCCTCCCTCCCCGTCTACCTACCCATCTGTCCATCCTCCAACCCATCCCTCCATCCCCATCTACCTAGCTACCCATCTGTCCATCCCCCAATCCGTCCCTTCATCCGCATCTATCTACCCATCCGTGTGTCCATCCCACTAATCCATCCCTCCCTCCCCGTCTACCTACCCATCCATCCACCCCCATCTACCTACCCATCCATCTGTCCATCCCCCAACCCATCCATCCATTCCCATCTATCTGCCTACCCATCTGTCCATCCTCCAACCCATCCCTCCATCCCCATCTATCTATCCCTCCATCTGTCCATCTCCCAACCCATCCATCCCCATCTATCTACCTACCAACGCTCCAATCCTTCCATCCCCATGAGCTGTCCCCTCCACCTGTCCATCCCCCATCCCTCGGTCCATCACCGCTCCATCCATCGCTGTCCCCACACCGGCAGGTTTGAAGCGGCTGACGGGGTGCAGCGATGTGAGCGAGGCCCTGACAGAGATGAAGGAGGAGAAGCGGCGCATGGACATGGAGCGCAAGGTCTCCATCACCCAGCTCTTCCGCTGCCGGATCTATCGCCAGCCGCTGCTCATCGCTGTGGTGCTCCAGCTGTCCCAGCAGCTCTCCGGCATCAATGCGGTGAGGGGGGGGCTGGGGCTTGGCTTGAGGAGGAGCCTGGGGAAGATGGGGTGGGGCCTGGAGATGGGGGTGGAGCTTGGTGGGGGGCGGCTTTGGGGAGGTGGTGGAAGGAACCCAAGGAAATGGGAATGGAGCTAGGTGGCTGGCTGGGGGCGGATCCTGGGGGGAACTGGGGCGGAGCCTGAGAGGATGGGGGTGGAGCCTGGATGGGAGAGATGGGGATGGAGTTTGCCTGGGGGGTGGGGTCTGGGAGAATTGGGGCAGAGCCTGGTTGGGAGAGAAGAGGGTGGAGCTTGGGAGAATCAGGGCGGAGCCTGGATGGGAGAGATGGGCGGCGGAATCTGCCTGGAGGGAATGGGGGCGGAATTTGGCAGGGAGCTTGGTTGGGGGAGGAGCCTGGCAGATGGGGGTGGAGCCTGGGAAGGGAGGAGCCTGGTGGATGGGGTGGAGCCTGAAGGAGAAGAGGGAGCAAAGTGAGACCCCATGGGATCTGGGGGGGGGGGGTCGCACTTGCGCACTTGGGCCAGCTCTGACCCCCCCTTCTCTGCCACCCAGATATTCTATTACTCCACCAGTATCTTTGAGTCAGCCGGGCTGGAGCAGCCGGTGTTCGCCACGATCGGCGCTGGGGCCATCAACGCCGCCTTCACCATTGTCTCGGTAAGAGATGCCCCCGGCCGGCCAGCCGCCCCTTGGGGGGGGCATCCACACCCCTCCCAAATCTTATTTCTGTCCCCCTTGTCTCTCCCACCCCCCAAAGCTGTTCCTGGTGGAGCGGGCAGGCCGCCGGACACTGCACCTGGTGGGGCTGGGAGGCATGATGGTTTGTGCCGTGGTGATGACGGTGGCGCTGGTGTATCTGGTGAGTAGCTGGGCAGCGGGGGCTGAGGGCCGAGGGGCGAGCGGCCGGGGAGCGGGGGCTGAGGGCCGAGGGGTGAGCGGCCGGGCAGTGGGGGCTGAGAGTCGAGGGGTGAGCGGCCGGGGAGCGGGGGCTGAGGGGTGAGTGGCCGGGCAGCGGGGGCTGAGAGTCGAGGGGCGAGCGGCCGGGCAGCGGGGGGCTGAGAGTCGAGGGGCGAGCGGCCGGGCAGCGGGGGGCTGAGAGTCGAGGGGTGAGTGGCCGGGCAGTGGGGGCTGAGAGTCGAGGGGTGAGCACGGCCATGCAGGTTCTCATCCCAGTCTCTTTCCCCCGCCAGGATCGGGTGCCGGCCATGAGCTACATCAGCATGGTGGCCATCTTCGGCTTCGTGGCTTTCTTCGAGATCGGGCCAGGGCCCATCCCGTGGTTCATCGTGGCTGAGCTGTTCAGCCAGGGGCCCCGCCCGGCGGCCATGGCGGTGGCCGGGAGCTGCAATTGGACCTGCAACTTCATCGTCGGCATGGCCTTCCAGTCCATGGCGGTGAGTGCACCCCCCGTGGGTGGGCACGTGCAAAGCAACCCTCGGGGTGTGGGCAATGCACCTGTGTGCACCCACAACACTGCACACGCACACCCGCAATGCCACACAACTGTATTTAGACACGCATGAGCACACAGGCGGCAGAGAGAGGCACCAGAATCGTGAATGCCGGCCATTACGACTGGGAATATGCCGGCGGGTGGGGGGCACGGACCCACAGCAGGGAGTAGGGCTGGGTCTTGGACCGGCTCCCAGGCGGGAGCAGGAACAAGCGACATCTCACAAATGGCGTCTCGCACGCGCTCGCTGGCAAAACCAGCCCACACTTCCCTTTGCATCCAGCACTCACCCCTCCTCTCCTCTCCTGTAGGACGCCTGTGGGCCGTACGTCTTCCTCATCTTCGCGGCCCTCCTCCTTGGTTTCTTCCTCTTCACCTACTTCAAAGTCCCTGAGACGCGGGGCCGGACCTTTGATCAGATTGCGGCCGCGTTCCGACGCACCGCGTCTCTGTTAGACCACGAAATCAAACCCTCCACCGAGCTGGACTGTCTGGGGCCAGAGGACAACGTCTGACCTGGGGCGGGAGCGATCGGCCAGAGAGAGAGACACACGAGGAATGTAACCGTAACCCAGCACTTTAACGACACAGCGAGGTTTAGAGATTTTTAGGTTAGTTGTTTTGTTTTTAGCTTTATGGGTTTTATTTTTAAGATTATATATATATATATATATATAGAGAGAGAGAGAGTGTGTGATTGTGTTGCGTGTGTGTGTGTGTGTGTGTGTCGGAGGCACGGAGATAAAGATGTGTTGGGAGCTGCGGAAGGAGCTCGGTTAAGTGACAAAGGAAGGGGAACCTGGAGGAGAACCCAGCTGAGCTGGGGGCACGCTCTTGGAATCGGAGGCGGGGAAAAGACCTCCCCGAGACCATATCCAGCAGCTGGAACAGATGTTCAGGCATTCCCGAACATAGGACACTAGTAGGCTCCAGAACTGTTGACTGAATGGTTCTGCGTCGATTCAGGGACAGGAGACTTTTCTATCGCTGAGAAGGTAGAAGGAGAATGCAAAACTCCGGTGGAGTTCTTTCGATCCTACCGAACGGTCCCCCCGCCGTCAACGGAGTTGAGCCAAAGGGCCACAACGAGCATGACCTCCTCACGTGCTCTAACACTGAGAGCTAGAAAGGTTGGAGCAAGAAGGCCAGGCGTCATGGATGCCGTCAAACGCCGTGACTCCGTCGCTGAATGGCAAGGCTCCTACGGGCAGGAGCTGTGGCTCTTTGCCCTACACATGGTCCCTGTAGTCCAGTGGCCCGTCTCCAAGAGTGGACAGCACTACATCCCTTGGAGGAAACCTTTCAGCGATACAGAGGAGTCACCTCTTAACTCCCCATGGCTGGCGATTGACTCCTACTGGCAAATATCATGAGAACTTCCATCCTTCTCCATCCAAGCCCGCGGAGCGGGATTTCCTGGATGCTCTGACCTGGGACATCCCTTCCCGTCCATCTTCTGAGGTTTGTAGGAGATCTGAGGGGACCTCACCACTCTTCCTGGAAAGCGAGCGTCAAGAGAAGACAGTCAACTCATCTTTGGAGGAGAACTGGTTGCGAAGGGCTGACAAGGGAGGGGGGGAAGCTATCGCCCAAGGTGGGGAAGCTTTTGAGAAAGGGTGCGTTGGGTTTTGTGAACTGCAGTCCGTACCAGTTGCAAGTCAACACAGAATGTGGGACATCCGCTCCACAGCTCATGTCTATAGGGACAAGGAATGGCCCAATTGGATCAGACCCATGGTCCACCTAGCCCGCGATTGTGTTTTAACAGGATGGTGTCCTCAGCCTTGCATGCAGAGGACAAGATGCTAGGAAGACTCTGTGCTCAGCAGTCCAGGACAATTTGCTAGTTAAAGATGGTGGGATCGTTAGTTGGTTGGTTGATTATTTTTAAGAAGGCCGTAAATACAGAAGCAGCCAGAACAGGATTGTTAAAATTACTGCTCTCCATTTTGTCTGCTAGCTGACTGATGGAAGTCTGAAGAAAGCCAGTTGAGTTGGCCTACAAAGACCAACCTTGCTAAAATGTTAGTGATTAGACCCGGCACTCCATCATGCCACGTGTTTGGGGTGGGACAAAGGAAGAACCTGTTGAAACAGATGACAGGCACAAGAGATCAATAGCTGTGCTTGAAGACAGTTTATGGACGAACCCAGGAAGCTTCTGAACGGTTAGTAGGATCTGAGGGAGTTAGTTTTGTAATTAACGGAGGTGTTTGTCTTAATGTCAGGGACATATGGAGAGGCATTGGCACATCGTGATCTTTTGTATTTCAGCGAGAAGAATGTAAGTAATTCTTTGTATATAAAGGACGGCATCAAACAGGCGAGCGAGGTTGCGTTTGCTTCATTGTAGACACTCATAAATCTAACTTCTCCTGCAGCAGAGGGGGATGTTATGAAAGAGAAAAGGATTTAAGGGAAAAATAGATCTAAGGGTCTTTTAACAAGGCTACAAACAGACAGATTCATTGTAGCAAAGCCAAGGTGTCATTCTGAAATTCATCCCCAGGTTTCTGGATGAATTACACTCAGCCTTTGACAGCACCATGGGTAGAGCATTTCATATGGACAAGGGAGTGATCATTTATAGTCATGTCCAGATTTTTGGGGTGCCCGAGTTTGATAGCCCTTGGATACAGACCAATTCCTAGATCTTTTAGAAAAACCTCCTCTCGTGAATTAAAAATTGTCAGTGACGGAGAATCCCCCCCCCGCCGAGTAAATTGTTCCAACAGTTAATTGCCCACACCGAGAAAAAATTAAGCCTTATTTCTAGTCTGAAATAAGTTCCCGCTGGAGTGTGCAAATTCTCAGAATTTTGAAACACCGAGACAGACGGAAGCAGTCTCCGACCACGTCTGGAAAGATTGCTTCCCCATTTCGGATGATGCTAATTTTAGTAGTTAAATGTGTCGTTGGTTTGGGGGTTTTTTTTAGGTGGATTTCGAGCATCCCCTTAATTTTAATATTCTGGTGCAACAAACACATTGCAATTCGTAGAGGCCAGAAGGGACCGGTAGACCGTCTAGATCTACACGGCCATTAAATTTCACATTTCCCCCCTAGTAACTAGCGTTGGACTAATGCCTCTTCCAGGACGGCATCCAGTCTTGGCTGAAAAGACATCAAGTGATGGAGAATTCACCTCTTCCCTCAGGAGTTAGTTCCAGTACCTAACCCCGCCCCTCCCCACTGTTCAAAATTAGATCAGTGTTGGGTTAGTGCCTAAGTAGGGCCCTACCAAATTCATGGCCGTGAAAAACCTGTCACGGCCTGTGAAATCTAGTGAAGTGTAGGTCTGCGCTGCCTTCAGAGCGGAGTGGCCGGAGAGCAGCGGCTGCTGGCCAGGCACCTAGCTCTGAAGGCAGCGGCACCACCAGCAGCAGGGCAGAAGTGAGGGTGGTATGGTATGTGGGGGAGGGTACTGTGGTCACCCCCATCCCCCACCAGAGCCAGCCCAAGACCCCTTTAACCTCTGAGCACTGGGGAGAAATACAGCTGGGGGACCCTACTGTGCATCAGGCTCCAGTTGCTAGTCCTGGCCGGGCTGCAGTGGGATGGGACTTCTGCTGCTCCTGGGCTGGGTCAGATCCACCTCTGCTGGCAGCACAGAAGTAAGGGGGGCAATACCATGACCCCCCTCCCGTAGCCACCCACAACCCCATTTTGGGTCAGGACCTCCCCCCCCATTACACCAGCATGACATTTCAGATTTTTAAACTCCTAGGACCGTGAAATTCATCAAAATGGTCCGTGAATTTGGTAGGGCCCTGTGCGTAAGTGTTTCTAACCCCGTCAGCCCTCCCTGAAAGTTATTTTAAAATTAGACATGTAGAACCGCCCTGCGCTACCGGTAGTAGACAGCATCCAATGCCCAGGAAATCATAAAAGGACACCCAGCCAACGTAACGAAGGCCTAGCCTCCGCTTGAGAGTCACAGTGGTTGAGGTGATATTTATTGGATCAACATCAACTAGTGGAAGAAAGGAGCATTCAAACTAGGCCGAGGAAGGTAACCAGAGCCCCATAGTTAAACACAAGGCGGGGCAGGTTGTTAAACAGTCTACAAAGGAAAAGTCACATCACGCTACCATAAATTAGTAAAAGTCCTAGGGTAGATGCACTTATAAGGCATGTGGGATTTTCAGAGGATTTGCTTATCTTGCTTGCTGGATCAGACAAAACCATACCCCTAGAACAGTGGGTCCCAAACTTTAACAGCCCGCGAACCCCTTTCACTAAACTGAAATCTCGTGAACCCCCTCCTAAAAATGAATATTTTCAGGGATTTAAGTTTAAATTTCCTCAGTGTGACAGATGCCCCAACTGCCCAGCCCCGCCCTCCCGGGGGCTCGGGCTGCTAGTCCCGCACCGTGCATTGGGGTTCGTGCTGCTGTCTCCCCCGCTAACGGGGGCAGGGCTCGGGCAGCCGGCCCCAACTGCCCGGCCCCGCTCTCCCTGGGGCTCGGGTTGTCAGCCCTGCAAACCGGGTCCCACCTGCTGTCTCCACTGCCTGGGGTCCTCTGTCCACCCTTAGTGAAATTTTTCTGGCGAACCCCCTGTAATGTTCTGCGAACCCCCAGGGGTTCGCGAACCCCAGTTTGGAAACCACTGCTGTAGAAATAAGTTTATAGCAGCAAAATTGCATTTATATTACAGTGGTGGTGTTCATTTGTTCTGGTAGAAACAAGCTCTAACTTGACTTAAAACTGAGCACGCTAAACCACCAGCGAAAGTCGAAGGCAACGGTTGCTGCTCTCGGCCGGAGATTTGCGTCTCGCTCCCTTCTGACCAGGGTAGGTCCAGGCTGGATAATTTTCTGCCTTCATTGCGTATGTCACAGCAAAGACCATCTGCCTTTGCTTTCTCTTCAGAGACTGCTAACAGAGCGCGGGCTGTAGTTCTAGAGGTGCCACCCGGCTCTTTCAAAACACGCCCACTTCATTCTTCACCATTGCTGAGAAAAGTGTATTAAAACCGCCAACCCAAACCGGGGCTGAGTAAGAACTCTCTCACCTCAGGGGCACAACTTAAATCATCGCTTCCGCTCAGAAAAAGCGCCCTCCTGCCTTGTTTAATCCACGTTTTTACACCGATCGGGTGGTCTTTGATCCGGAGTTTCCCCACCGTGGACTCGACCCTTGGGTGTTCCTCCTGTCACGGAGTCCCCGGGCGATGCTCTGGAGCTGCTCCCTACGAAGCCAGGCAGGACTCTGGTGAAGTCTCCTCTCCGTGAGCAGACTATCTCCAGGGCAAGAAGCTCCCACGGCTTCCACCTTCCTGGGTCTGACCTCGGAGCAGCCACCATCCTCTGCCCCTGCGTGAGCTTCCCGCAGCGAGTCCACCAGGTGGGTCCTGGGGGAGCCAGAGGCCCTGTACCCCAATTCCACCATCAGACGTGACTCTCAGCCAGCAAAACAGAAGGTTTATTAGACGACAGGAGCATGGTCTAAAACAGAGCTTGTAGGTACAGAGACCAGGACCCCTCAGCAGGATCCATCCGGGGGGGCATGGCAGTGAGCCACGGCTGCACCCGCTCCACACCCCCAGCCAGCCCCAAACGGCTTCACCCTCCAGCCCCTCCTCTCTGGGCTTTGTTCCTTTCCTGGGCCAGGAGGTCACCTGACCTCTTTGTTCTCCAGCACCTTTAGCCATCTCCTTGGGGGGCGGGTGGGGGAGGAGAGAGAGAAGGGCCCCGGCCATTAGTTGCCAGGAGACAGAGTGCCAGCCATTTATGCACACTGGCCCTTTGCTCTGCAACAATCTCACCCCCTAGAGATTTAAGAAATGCATAGGGGAAACTGAGGCACCCCTACAGTATTCAGAGGAAACATTAAGAACAGTCCCACTTGGTCACACCTCCGCAGGACAGAGTTTTGAAAGGTTGGGTGTGGGGGGAAGAATTTGCACGTACTTCCTAAGAAATCCACTTCAGATATATCCGTTTCCTGCTAAAGCGGTTCTATGCAATCTACGACAATGGAACGCAGAGGTATTAACCCTCATTCAATCAGATGAAACTTAGACAGATAATATCCCAACTGAACTATCTGTCCCCACCTCAGCTATGCTGCGAACTATACCGCTTTCTCCTTGTCCTGCCCTCAGTCGCCGAGGAGAACACTCGCTCACCACCTTTTGTTTAAGGTGGCACGCCACCAACTTAATTAAAACTTGTTAAACCCACAGCTGATTTTAACAGAGGCTGGGTTTCCAGTCAGCGTGACCGCTGGCCAGAAGTGTTGAAGTCATGAGGAGCAGGACATTGAAGGACCATGCCTGAATGCCTATTTTTAGCAGTCCAGCTAACACCGTATACTCACATGCACTTTGGCATTTTTCCACCAGTAATAGGACCTGCGTCACTCTGGGGAAGCGGTTGCCAGCTAGCGCCAGGACAAGGGAGAGTGGATACGCACAAAGATGGGCTGAAAGTCAGTGTGACTAGTAAAACTTGGTTTAGACCAGGCTGCAAACCGGTCTCTGGTTTCATTTTTATTCTGAGGGCACCGACTCCTCCCACCCACCTCAGAAGGAATGCAGCCACTGTAGAGGGTTGCACTCGCCTAACACGACCAGTTTAGCGTGGCTGGTAAAGCTTGCAGGCGATAAGATCAGAACTGCAGGACGGAAGGGAGTCTGGCTGAAATTTGCACGCTGCTCACTGTGTCTGTGAGTATTAAGACAAAGCTGGGGAGGAATCGCACCAAATATTTGACAAGACTGTTCATGAAGCAGGGCTGGGTTGGGCGACATTTCCTCTAGACGAAAATGAAAGACAAGTCTGCCCCTTCTCAACATGTTTTGAAAGGATCAAATCAAGGATCTAAGGCATTCCAAACCAGCATCTTTTCAACAGCATTGTTACCCCCCAAGCCTTTCACCCACCAGAAACGGTCACTAATGAACGTTCAGTCAACAAACAACAAGTTGCTCTCTCCAGTCCAGCCACTTCCAGCAGAAACGGCTCTGCAATCATTTGAGGGACCAGAAAGCAGCAATGCAGGGCACGGCCTTGCAACTGATGCCCTGTACCTAGGCTGACATTTGAGATAGTCAATTTTATGAACACCACAATCACTGGTTTGTTTGGAAGATAGGGCGATCTACTGTATTTTGAAATTGGGAGGAAAAAGTAAAAGGTTTATTGACCCAAGACTGAAAATTTGAGATTCCTCTCTCCCC